GAGCTTTTATAGGTTTCTTACACTCTGTCTCTAAGTGATTATCATCACAGTCTGTACTTTGTGACAGCACAGTTATTTCTGCTCTAGTCCAGATGATGGGCCTTTACCAGGTATTACACCACCTAGTCTGTGAAATTTCTGTTTCTAAAAGATTGATACAAATTCCATTCCATCATTGTTTGACATTGGGAGGACAAGTACTCAAAAACAAAACTCATAATTTTTATGCTTTCCAAATGCAGGGAAAAAATCATGAAGAGGTTTTATTCTTTTCAAAATATAGACAAGATGACGCATTTTAGGGCTACATTTTGACCTATTTTAAATTGTAGTATTTTATGTATTAGCCTCCATAAAATGGAACCCAGAAATATGGTATGCTTAGTTTAAAAGTTCAACTGGGATTACATATCTTTCTGTTTAAATAAATAAATAAAGTAGCAGCTTTCTGATAAGGGTATGTACAGGACACTTGACAAGTAGCTCAGTCTCCTTCAGTTCTCTCCTCATTATTCCTGTAGATTTCAATCTCATAGAAACAAGGTTATGTTCAGCACTCTACTTCTGATAAGGGTCTGTGGACTGGGTGGATGACAGGATGAGATATTTTTCTTGGACAACTGAATCAGTTCAATAATTTTTATCTTTCATAACCTTTTTATTACCTCCTCTTCCATTTCATCTTTTCCCCTATTTTTCTCACAGGTACTAATCATAGTTCCACCCTTAAAATCTCCAAGCCAACCTCCTGATCTTTCTTTCTCCAAAAAGCATGAGAGCCTCATGTCCTCTTGTAAATTCCCTTTTCCCTGCAAAGGGGATCAAATCAGGAGAGACACCAATTACAAACAATATTTACTAGGACACCTTTTAATTAAGCTGTTGTTATTAAGAGCAGATAATTGTCTGTACAATGCATTCAAATACTCCTTCCCAAAAGTACAGGGAAGGAGCGCATCAGGCATGCATAGATGCATACTCAGAATTTATTTGTCCCTTGTTTGGAGCAACAGGTGGATGGCCAGTCACAGTTGTTTACACAGAACCAGAGGGTCACCATCTGGCTGCTAAGATGTTTTTTCTGAAAGCCCTTCAAGAAGGTCCTTCTTTCATCAGGTGTATATGTAATCCTGAAGTATTTGTCTGCATACAGCAGCCATCACCTTCTTGAGTGTGCTCTGAATTACATAGCCCCATTATTGATGCTGATGTTTACTGTTGGCCTTGGGTAGAGGCAGCAAACTATTGATGTTCTGAATTCACCCACGCTTGTGGACTCAAGAGGACTGTTACTCTCCAGAGCTCAACAGGTATTAGAGACATTTGCATGCAACCTCTCAGCATCTATTTTTCTGCTCTTCAGTCTACTATTTTCTCATAGTTATTTTTTCATCCATATCTATTAGCATCTGTAGAACCAGTTCTTAACTAAAACTCATACAGAAGAGAATTTTAAGATGTCTGCCCTCAGGCCACCAATACTAATATTTTGGAGAAGTTTCCAGGTGTTAAGCCCAAGTGTTTCTTTTACGGTCCACATTGCCATATGGGAATTACCTCTTTATCACCCCCCCACACACTTTCCAGCACTACATAAGCTCCATACATAAGCTCATATTGATTCATAGCACTGTGTAAGTTTACATCTCCATCAGGCTTTATTTACCATGCTTTTAAATATCTCTTGCCTTTGGCAACTGTTTTTCACAAACCTATGGACTTCAATGAATTTTTTTTTAGAAAAAACACCCCACCTTTTCCTGCTTTTGTGCAAAAACTGTGGAGAGATGAAGGCACTGTCAGAGAAGGCAGAAGAGAGAAAAACCTTACTTTGCCACCAAACATTTTTACTTCATTATTATTTGTCTAGAGCTCCTCTAAAACCCACATTCACGTTACTTATGAAAATTAATGAACATGTGACAATATTGCAGACATCAGTGTTGAACTCAGACTTACTATATGGGACAGATATTTCCAACTAAGAGTGATCAGCTGCCAGTAGTTTTGCCTGCTGTACCAGCATTTAAAATACCAGTCTATCACTGGGGAAGACCTGTTTTGGAGATTGTTTTATAAATACAGGTTTCCTAGGGATCATGTGAGCATGAAATACCTGGATATATCTTCAAACTATAAAGTTATATATACTTATTTCTTGTCATATATTCGAAGTTGAAAGTTTCCTTTGTATATGCATTTTCATCCATGGTCTATTTGCCTCATGCCCCCCATTATCATGTACAGAAAAGGATCCCCAACTATTTCTCATTAATCACTGTACACTGAAGTATTTTCACTCACTTAATTTGCTAACAGCATCAATGAACAAAAAAAAACCTGTCTATAAACTGGTCAGTGTCATTTTACATCTAGGACAGCATTATAATGGAGACAATGCACCAGATCAGAAACTGAAGGTTTGTTCTGAAGGTAAGTCTCCCTGCCAACTTAGAAAGTCCCCTGAGTGGTGTTAAGAATTATTCCTCAGGGAAGCATTCAGTTTATTATAGGGATTTTTTATTAGTTTTTAATGTTAATTCTGTCTCTAATTAAAAACAATAATAAGTAAAAGGAAAAAAGGTTGTCTTCTTGACTTTCAGAATTTTGTCAGGATTACATGAACACTTCACCTTCCACTTGAACACTGGATGCATAATTTACATTTGATAGAAATTTTATAAGCCAATGAGGACAAAGGCATACACCATTATTCTCTTATAGGTTTGCACCAGGTAGATATTTGTTTTGATTTTTTCAATATTCAAAACATATTCTAAATATAATAAGAAAACACAACTAAGAAATGCACTGTTTCAGACACACAATAAAATATTATGTTTCTAGTATTTCTCACAGTCACCCCTATTTTTGTATGCAGTTACAGAACTACTTTGAACACTTTTATTTTATGATAAAGGAGTTTTGATTGATGTTTCCAGGGTTTCTATATAAAATGAAGGAAACATCTATTGCTTGCTCTGTTCCATTTGCTAGGAAAACTGAATTTTCATTTAAAATTGTAATTTGAGGAGGGCATTTATTGTTTTAGTAATCTGAAATTTAGCTGAGTACAGTTCATTGTGCTCTGCAGTTAAGTGAGACATACTGAAAATGGCAGCATAGAAACTCTGCATGCTGCAAATCTTTCATTTGTGTTATTGCTTGGCTATTGAGGAGGCAAAACATGATTTTTACATACATAGATTTTAGCTGTCTCCAAGACTGATCCTTCTCCTAGATAAATTCAGTTTTACTTCAGTCATCAGCATTATTTATCTCTGAAATAGGCAACTTTCTTAATTCAGCACTCAGCAGTACTGTGAAAATATTGATCTGCAATCAACTGCTGACACAGTTATCTTTGCTTAAGCCGCATGTTTACTGAACTGCAAACACAGCAGTATTATAGGCATACATAAGAATTATTTCTCCCACAAAGAAAAAATATCATAGAAAGTACTTCTAAATGGTCTTGTTTGTGTTTTATTCTAACTAATTTTTGTCAAAGGCTCCTGTAAAGTAAATTGTTTATATTTTCCTTTTTCTCCCATCATTTTTGTTTGGGGGTTTTATTTGATGGTTGGCTGGCTGGTTGGTTTTTGAGTTTTGTTTTCCTTTTAGTTGTGAATATAATACTATGAGAAATTTTCCTCCACTAATCTCATTTAAATTTTCCTTCAAGCAAAATAAACTGGTCGATAAAATTGAAAGTACTCTGAACTGCTATTTCCATTGTCTTGGAGGCATACTTAACAAGCATTCTTTTGGTTGTGAATCCCAATTTGCAGGACTTTTTAAAAACTTCTGGTCACTAAGGTTTGAGAAACCAGCCAAGTACCTTGTCATCAATACAATTTGCCTGACTTTGACAGATTACGTTATTAAAGATGTTATTTATATTTAATACATACAGCTCCATAGACATTTAGTGGAAGGTATTACTGTTTATTCTGGAGATTAATTAAATTTGATCACAAGTGGAGGTGCATAGAGTGGGGAAAGTTTTCTGTAGCTTAGAAGGGATTAAAACCAAAACAGGTCTGTAGAAATGGTGCTGAAGTGGACAGTCTTTATAGACTACACTCTTTACAATCACATTAAATGAACATATAAATATAAAGTACACATTTTCGCTTTTAGAATTAGTGGCAGTGAATGTCAAAGGCACTTCAAAATTTGTCATCAAAGCAGATAACTCTACTTTGTAATTTATCTGGAAATAAAACAAAATGAATAGCCAAATAGGCAGCAAAAGGGCTGACTTTCAAAGATGAAACTAATAATTGAATACCTTAATCACCAAAGTTTTCAAATTAAAATTTCAATTAGCTGGGAAGGGCTTAATATATATGTGTGTTTGTGTATTTACAGAAAATGATTAGCTACTGTAATAAATGTAACTGACTTTAAAATAATGAATATTGTAAAAAACTCATTAAAAATGTTTATATCTACTCTCTAGGATATTAATACATATTGAACATTATAAATAAGTGATTATTCAATAATTCAGTATAAAGTTTCTAATTGTTCTCATCATCTTAATTTGTTATATTATTATTAGTATAATAAAAGTAAGAATAGTCAGTAACACCAGTCCCAGTAAGTAGAAATATAAGTATCATATCAAATAAATAAACATGTATGACCCTCTTAAGCAGTATCCTCCCCCCCCAAACCCCTAAAAATCCTTACTGTGTAAAGTGCAACTTAAATAGAATTTCAGAAGCTAAATCCAAGGACGCAATTCCAGAAAATGACTGCTAAGGAACTGTGGTGGGGGAAACAGTTTTCCCCTGAAGTTATAAAATGGTAAAACCCTAGGGGGTGGTGACCCTTGTGGTTTTACCCAATGAGCGCTTCTGCAAAATATAAACATACCACAAGCAGACCGGAAAAGAAGTAGTTGTAGTTGTTGTTGGAAGAGTGGTCATGTTGTAAGGGCACGAGGAGAAAGGGCAGGAGCCCCCCTGGGGGGTTCTGACCCCCCCCCAGCCCCTGACTGGAGGGCTGCAGGGACTTGGAACAGTATAAGACTGGGCTAAGTGTCTGTAGCTGAGCCGGGGGATGTTTCTTCACTGTGAACCGCAGAAAAAGATACTGAAAAGCGGCGGCAGAACAGCAGTGGATGGAGAAAGTGGCAGAGAGCCAGAAGAGATAAGACCGAGCAGCAACAGGCATGCAGCAACACAGAGAGAACTCCTGGAAGGAGAGAGAGAAAGAGAAAGAGAGCCAGCAGCAGAGAGAGCAAGACTAAGCTCTACAGACAGAGGCAGAGTTCTGGGGTAAGAACTGAATCGAAAACCCCAAACTCCTTTGTGACCCCTCCTAGGAGGAGGATGATAGACTCTTACTTGAGAAAGAGTCTTGAAGTGCTACAGCACTGCAGAAAGGAGCTGAAAAGCTCCGAGAAGGAATGCAGAGGGGGTGACCTTGGTAGAGATAGCTAAGATTGTATATAATGTATTGTAGTATTTATTTTGTACAGTCATTGTAATATATATTCCCTTTCACCCATTTTGAGTCTCATGTAGCGTCTGGAAAAACCATCTCACACCGGGTTGAGATGTGGGAAGGGGCTTGGACTAGGGAATTGGATTTTTTTGGCTTCTCAAACCATGACAGGAATGTATGTGTCGATTGTAGATAATTTTATTAAACGTTATACTCTAGATTTTTTAGCTTTTAGGGACCAGTTATACCGAAAAGCTGACAGACCTAAGCTTCCAAGCCTTTTCACAAACCTCAGGCTGTTTGGACATTTTCAAATCAGGCAGACACTGTACTGACAAGCCCAAGCTGATCTGATTTTTCGAAGACATCTGACATGCACATATCATCCATACAAGAAAAACACACCAACCCCAAGGCCATTCTCATGCAAAATGTCAGCCAGAGAGAGAGGTGGTTCACATTGGATAACAATCTAATGCCTGAAGTGGAATGGAAACTGAGGATCAATTCTAACCTTGGACAGAAAAGTTTGAATTTGACATCTTCTGAGGGAAGGCTCTAATCCCCAGGCTGGAATACAAAAGCTACAGAGTGAAGGAGGAAGCATAGAAAAAAAAAGAGAAAATATAACTGCACATTTTTTTTTAAGTTTTAAACTTTTACCAGCCAACATAACTAGTTATCACCATGTATTTTCTTAATGAACAATGAAAATCCATTCATATTAATACATTTCTCTCTGGGAAATCCTTTAAAATTCAATATATATCCAAGTTCATGTTTCCTTTTCTATACAAAATAGAACAGTCTCATCAGGGCTGATTTAAAAAACAAAACCAAAACCAAAAAAACACCAAAACAAAACAGAAAAAGAACCCACATTCCTACAAAGGAAAGCACTCACCTTGCTTTGATACCAAGGCTCTTTGTTTTACATAGGTAAATTCCTGACAGACCCATATTCTGTGCTCTCATAAAATCGCAATGCAAGTACATTTATTTGTTTTAAAGTAAAAGACACAAAATGGCCAGTCTTGCAATGTGGGTGTTGTGATTAACACTTATCCAGGGTGTATGATGCTACCACTATTCTTGATTTTGTCCATGGAACAGTAGACAAAATACTTCTGAAGATACATGTAGATATTGCATATCAGTATTATGACTAAGTATGCATAAAAGTGAACAGAGAATATTTAAATGTACTTAAAAAAAATGTACTTAAAAAACCCCACTTGTCTGAAGACTAAACCCCTGCATTTTCATCATAATGTCAATCAAATCAGAGAGTAAATCTCAAGATCCTATAAGGCAGTACTTATAAATACAACCAATATACTGAAAGCTCAAGTATACCATCATTATGCAACTTTCAAGATGAAATAACATAGATCAAATGGAACTAAGGGATACCCACACAAAAAATTAAATCCAAGATGTTTGGCCAACAACGTCTTTATTCCTCTTGGAAATGAATCTTTGTTAAAAATAATTGACCTAAATGCCCATTAGTTAGTAGTCATGAGTAAGAGATATAGAACATCTTTGTTCAACTGTTGATAAGATTCTTCCCTCCTTATAACAGGTATGCTCTTGCACTTCACTCTAGATGATATGATCTAGAAGTATAGCTAGCACAATATCTATAGAATATTAGTATTTCTTTTCAAGAAAATAAGAGCTTAATTTAAATCTTAACATAAATCATTGTCTGCTTTAAAAATGTTTGATTTACCCTTACTTGTAAACCAAAGATCATTCATCTCAAAGATTATATAACTCTTCAAAAAATGTAACTCGTAAACTTTTTAAGGCTATCACTTCAAACATGCATACTGATGTGATCTTTGTCCTTAAACTGAAGGCATTTTCTGTGCAATAACTCATTTTCACAGGTTAATTCATTATTTATGTAGTTATTAGCTTGTTTAGGTTCCTGACTTGAAAGATGTTATGATCCAGTTATTAAAATTGTTAGAAATGCCTCTGCCCCAATTAAGGAGTAAACAAAATCATATGTCAAAGTCAATAGTATGGATTTTATTTAATGGTAAGTGAGAAAGAGAGGGAGAGAGAAGTAGAAAAAATGAGGGAGGGGGGGGAGAAAAAGAGTGACAGAGAGAGATTAAGTAGAAAATGTATCATCTCTCCATAGACCTGTCGGCGTCCCGTGGGTCTTCTGGTCTTCTTGGCGGTTAGGGTCCCCCTCCCATACATTCAAGAGATGTCCAAGTACCTCCCCTGGGGTGGGCAGGGAAGCTTTGCACTCTTGCAACAGGCTCTGGTTTTGTTGCCTCACTTGGATCATATGCAGTCTTGTGGTGGTGGAAGGCTTCAGGAGTGAGTCAGGAAGCGCTTTGGTGGTCTTTGACATCCCGTGTGTATGTGGTTTTCCCAGAGCCTGGGAGGTTTAGTCTGTTTGGTGTGGAGAGATTTCGCCATCACATCCAAAACCCTTCTCCCCACCCTGCTCAGCCACCGGCTGAGCTGAGTTAGGGTGAATTCTTAAGACAGATACATTCTTCTTCCACTAGTCTTGTTTACTTCTCCTCAAACTCAAGATAATTAGACAGTATTCTTATCTCAAGTTCCCCTTCACAGTCCAGATTCCAGTCAGGAAGCATATTGGGCAGGGTATGGGGCATACTTTGGTGGTCACAGACAGGCAGTTGCTTCCTTGCAGTTTGACAAAAAGGTTTTCTATGATTTTAACAATGTTTAAGACATTAACAACATTTCAGTCCATCACAAAAGAGAATAATGTGTGTCTTAGAAAGAAAAAATAATCTATATGTACTTTCTGAACATCTCCAGCAAGATCTAGCACTACTGGTCTCTATAACAGCCTAACTTTTTCGTCTTTCCTTCTGTTTAAAAGATTTATGAAAAACCAAATTAGGAACAGAAATAGTATCTTATGATTTATGTGACTGCAACTGATTGATACAAATCATAAGTCTTACATAAAAAAAAATTAAATGCTCACCTTGAACTTTTTTTTTTACTTTTGGATGATTTTTTAAAAAATTAAAAGATAGTAAAATATATTTACATGATTAAATTGCTCTCAACAACCTCTATTCTTCTTTTGGCCTTCTCACAAGTCCTAATCTAGTAAAACACTTACTCATAGGCTTCATTTACACTCCTGACCAATGCTACTATATATGATATTCATAAATTTACCTATACTTAAGCAATTCTGTCACTACTAAAGCAGACAAAATAGACTAAATACATTGTATGTTCTGAATTGTTAGTTTGGGTGTCATTTGTTACTTTTTGACGATTAACCTATATTAGGCAGTAATCAAAATCACTTCTTTTAGCACATCTGATCGTTAATCTATCAACAGTCTGCTAATGCAGCCAAAAAAATTCCAACCAGGCTAAAATTATTTTCACTCTAGCTAGCATTATCCTGTCAATATTGTGGCATAAAACACACACTGCTGTATCCTCCTTTTACAATCTCTTTAGAATTCCAAATGTACAGGGGCGATCATAATCTTTTCAGATATGTGAAGTCAAATAGCAGCAGAATTTGTCAAAGCATAGTAACTGTGACACACAATTCTAACCAAAAAACCCTGTCGTTAAGGAAGTCCTCTTTATGCATTTATGTAAAGAACTGATGAAGCCCAATGCCCAATAAAGATTCAAACGGCAGCCATGTTCATCAATCATTAATGAAAACCACAACACACAAAGATCTGTACATAACTTCTCAAGGGAGCTTTTTACCAGATTTTAACTGCTTGGATGTACAACAGAGAGATTAGGTTGTCTGCCTTCCCAGCAAACAGCATTCTTTTCCAGGCAGTAGGATGTCTTGTGAGAAAATAGTCAGTTTTATACTGATACGCTAATCTTAGCAAGGACTGATTACCTTCATTTCTATATCTTCCTGACAATATATAGTCTCTTTTGTAACATGACACAGAGAAGATTCACCTCCAATGCATGGATAATAAAATGATGTAGATTCATTTTTCATTTCCAGAGGGGGTTATTTTTTGTTAATTCAAGTTTTCAATTTCCTACAGAAATGATAGCATATCGTGTTAAAAGGACACTAAATTAATTAACTGGAGATATTCTGATATAACTTGACTCTCAGCTTATTCTGTGTGCTGGATAGAATCATTAAAACCTATGCTGGAGGGCAATATCTCCTAGATTAGTGGCAGAGGTGACATAAAAGGTGCCAAAAGAATGCCTTAAAGAGCAGCAAACACAGCAAGACATTCAAGGTGTGCCTTCTTTAGTATAAAGGAAAAGGTTTCCTTTCCCACATGGAAAGTGGTTGACCCATCCTGGACCTGTAGCAAAGACACTATGCAAAGCTGACAAGCTATCCTGGTCACCCTAGTGCCTTCATACCATTCATTGAATCAGATATTTTCTAAAAAAAAAAATAAATGAATGTGGTTTTATTTTGTGGTTGGGGTCTGCAATTTAGAGTTGCCTCTTTGAACTTATTTGAACTTAATTTCAACAAAGGTTATCCGAGTAAATAATTTTTAAGGTTTGTCATGATTTACAGCATGCTACTTTCATCTCAGTGCCACAATCAAGCCAAGAAATAATACGCATAGAAACATGATCATGTAGATTAGAAATGCAAATTTTAAATAGACTAAAAAGCCAGGTCTATATAATGAGATATTTGCTGTAAAGACAAGGACAAATAAACTTTATTTGTGGAACAATTGAAATCATTAATCATTCTTCAAGTTAAAATAGTGCTAGGTTTTCAGACAGTGATCTTTACAAATGAAGACAGTTTTAGATGGATGGGAACAACTGACAAGTATGAACAACAGCTTAA